TTACTTATGTATTGGTTTGTAAATGTACATTTAAAAAAAATACCAGTGGAGGCTTTGTTCCAAGTTCTGAAAATGTGGGGCAATTTCATAAATACAGTTGAATTTTCTTTTGTATTTGCACATGCTCAGATCCCGTATCCAGATTATAACACCAAGTTGCAGTTATCTCAACAATTGTAATGCAATTAGCAAAGCGCAGTGGCTAAGCACATAAGCTTTACAGTCAGATCTGAGTTCAAGACCTCACTCTGTCATTTCCTCGCTCTTAAGTACAGATAACAGGTTGTACAGTCTCTGCACCTCATTTTTCTCATCTGCAAAGTGGAAATGATAACAGACCTTACTTCACGTTGTTTTGTGAGAGTTAAAGGAGATGCCACGTGCAAACCCCAAGCACAGTGCCTGGCATCTGTTAATGATCAGCTGATGTTCACTGTTAGTTATTATTGCTCCGAAGCATGGTGTTTGAAAGGTTTTTTCTGAAGAGATACACCAGTAGACCTTCATATAACTTTTCTAAACGCTCATTCCTATTCCAGTGCAAGAAAATGCACCAGGGTTAAAAACCATCTCAAATGGTTTTAAATATTAGGAACCAAAATGGCTCAGATTGCATCAGCCACTGAGGTCATGCTTCTTTTTATGCCAAGTGACAATAGATAGTCTAAACCCCATTCTGTGTGCCTTCAAGAGGTTTGTTCTTTTTTCAGATGTTCAAGCACTGCAGGGATTCCTTAGAAAATCTTTATGTCAGGAGGAACCTCTCTACCTGGCCCTTGTCTTGCCATCATGTTACAGAGCCCAGTTTATCTCCCTCAAAGTGAGTTTCACTTAGCATTTTTCAGCCCCCAAAGGCCCCAGAGAAGGAGCCTCACCTCTCTCACGCCGGCCCAAGGCCCTGTCTTCAGGAGCCCCTGCTGAGGGCATTTTATCTGTGGAAAGGATCACTTCCTTCCATGAAAAATTCACTGCTAAAGACAACAAACAGGTCCCGGATTGTGGTATCCGATTTCCATTCCCTCCTAGAAAGAGCCAGAGCTCCTGGGGAGAATGGCTGGTCCCAGGTCCATAGTAGGAACTATCCAGTAGGAGCTGAGGATACCGACTGTGTCAGACGGTGAGGAAGGCGGACCAATCAGAAGGACGCAGGGGCCTATCAGAAGGCACTCCCATTGGCCAGCCGTGACATCACTGACCCTCTAAAACGGATAATAAATGCAATGGATTAAACCATGTCGTGTACATCAACATGAAAACATGAGTTTATAATGATGTTTTGGCGAAGTGAGAGAAAGCAAGCAAGCACCTCACTGCGTGCCATTGCAACATCAATCTTTATTCAGAAAATTGACACTTAAAAAGAAAGGCTTAAGCATTTATCTTGTCTTTCCTGTATAGTGTGTATGGCAAGGAATTGAAATCACCGTAATTGATGACGAAAAATTTTTTCTCATATAAAAATTCTAGCTCATGAACGCAAAAGGATAATAGAATCAGAAGGTCATGTTGTGAGTCCCAGTGAAATCATTGATTCGGGTAATAATCATTAACAGACGTCATCAGATGAAAGGTTGATGGGGAACTTTATAATGGAGGAGAGCTGCCACCCCTGAGCCGGTAAAGCTCCACTGAAAATGAAACACCCGGACCTGTGCCTCCTGAGGGGTGTAATACGATGTTCACATCACAGCTGAGATATGGTTGCCCAAGTAAACTGACCCTGAGTTGCATCCAGGCTCTAGAACTAAATTCCATTTCCAGGGATGTAGAAGTAACTGACATGAAACTGCAGGGAAGCAAAGAGGCAAATCTAGAATGTGGGACATGCTACAAGCCAGCTGACCCAGTTTCTGAACAAGTTACTGGCACGGGGGAAAAGGGGGTCAGGGGGACTGCTGTTGATGAGAGAGGCAAAGGAGATTTATCATCTGATGTACTAGGTGGTATGGGTCCTGATTCACAAAAACCAACTGGTAAATAATTTTCTTGTGAGAAAATTATGAGAAATGTTGAGAAACCAGGGAAATTTTGTTATGGGCTAGGTACAAAATGCCAAGGATATGTTATCAGTTTTCTTCAGTGTTCAAATGACACATAGTTATGTAAAAACTTTTGGCGATGCATACTAGTGTATGTAGGGCTTTGCTTTCAAACATGTTAGCAAAGAAAAAAGAAAAGGGGCAGGTGAAAATAAAGTGACAAAATCTTGATAATTGCTGAATCTGGGTGATGGCAGTATTTTTTTTAAGTTAAAAAAAAGGATAGATGAAACATGTGGAAACCTCTTGGTAACGGTTGAAACTGGAAATGGGTAGTTGAAGGTGCTTTTGTATTTATCTCTTTATTTTTGAGTATGTTTAAAGGTTTTTGAACTTGTAAAGAGCACGGATACAGCACAGTTCTAGGACATTGGTACATTTCTCAAAGCCTGGGTTCTTTGCACTGAGATCTTACCGTGCATGCAATTTCAGCAGCTCCCTAAAGGATGGATTGAACCAGCCCCAGTTGAGCACTTCAGTGCCCTGCGTGCACCGGAGGAGAAGCCAGATCTCATCTTTCTTTGTTGAGCCCCCTCCAGGCTCACCTAATTTCCTGTAGGCAATGGTGTGACCAAGCACTCTCATTCATTACCCGAGAACAAGCAGGAATTTTCTGGTACATGCAATCTAAATCCTAATTTGAAAGAAGCATTTCCTGAGGTGCAGAAAGACCATTCTGTCCAGGAGAGAGAGCATGCTTTACAACACTGGGCAGAGAAGTTGAGCTCGGAGCCTCCTCACCCCCACTGGCTCCAACCACAAATAACTCTACTCTATCTTGACTTGATAAGATGCCTGTTGTGCAAGGACTGTCTGCCTACAGCTGAATGCGAGCCACGCTTTTTTTATTTTTAACTGTAGCAAAATACAAATGACATAAAATTCACTGTTTTAGCCATTGAAGTATACAGTTCAGTGCATTCAGCACGTTCACATTATGTGTAACCAATCTTGGGAATTCTTTTTACCGTTCACAACTGAAATTTGACTACTCTTGGTACTGTATAAAAATGGATTCATACAGTATTTATCTTGTTGTGACTAGCTTGTTTCACTTAGCCTAATGTCCTCAAGGTTCATCCATGTAATAAGGTGTCAGAATTTCCTTCCTTTTTAAGGCTGAATAATATTCCATTGTATGGATAGACCACATTTTGTTTACTCATTATCAGTCAATAAATACTGTATGAACCCACATTTATACAGTGCCTAGAGTAGTTAAATTCCGTTTCTAATGATAAAAGGAATTCCCAAGATTGGTTACACATAAGGCGAATGTGCTGAATGCACTGAACCATATACTTCAATGGCTGAAATGGTGAATTTTATGTCATTTATATTTTGCCACAATTAAAAATAATCGCTCCTGCCTCTTGGCTACTGTGAATAGTGCTGCTGTGAACACGGGTTTGCCAAGGCACTGCTTCTCCAAAACAAAGTTTTTCTCCCAAGGTTTCAAGAGTCTCAGGAACAGCTCTCAGAGCAGGTTCAAGCTCAAAGCACTGTGAGCTTTTCTTCCTCCAAAGGGTCTGCCATGCTCACTGCCTGGAAGGCAAGCCTGTGTAAGAAGGAGGCAGTTCTGCAGCTCCTGACATGGCAGAGCCCAGGCAGTGGTCTCTGCCTTCCCCCACCACACTTAATTTTAAGACAATAAAATTAATACATGTGGCAAGCGGGTAAAAAGTGGAAATTTGCTCTCACCCCTATTTCCCATGGCTGCTCTTATATGAACAGTGTGTATTTTTTCCAAAGGCTTTATTCTAGACACATGCAAATATATATAGGTATATAGTTTTATAAAAGCTTTGTGTTTTATAAAAGTTTATTTTCCCACTCAACAGTGTATCATCTTTCCATATAGTGGAAAGGTATTGGGTACTTAGGGTATTTTCTATTTCTATGCTGTTACAAAAAATGCTAAATTGAATATCCTTGTGCATGCATACACACTTGCATGTTTATGTGAATATTATTGTAGGATAGAAGTGGAAATGTTGGGTCAAAGTGTGTGTAAATTTAAAATTTTGATAGGAATTGAATATAAACAAATAAACAAATAAAATTTTGTGTAAGTACAGCCATATTGCCTTTCTAAAGAATTAAGCTAATTTACTCATAAGCTTTAAAGCAAGACTTGAGCTTATTCTTTCAAGTTTAGGGCAAACATTCCAATCTGTTCTAACTTGATCACCAAGTATCCTTGTCCTCTTACAAGCAAGTTTAAAATTAAAATCTGCTTGGAAAATCTCAGGTTAGTAAAATTACCTCATTTTAATGACTATTGTCTGCTTACAGTCTTAAAGCAATCTAGTGGGCAAAGATGTAATTGTATATTTCTGCAGATGATAAATTTCAGGATTTCTCCTTTGAGTTATCAGGAAATGTAAAGTTAACCTCATAAACCTTTGCATCTTTTACACCCAGAATTGCATACATATATTTTTAAATATCACATCTCTTTTGAAAAAAAAAAAAACTTTTGCCCTCATCCCCTTCCCTGTTTCCCTGTTTGATTTTTAACTGTTTGAAAAAATACAAATTGCCTGGAAAGATCAAGTCCTCTAAGGCTTTTATGCTCATATGCCCAATAGCAGTCTCTGCCCCAAACCCAAATTTAATTATCTAAGCCGCTTGAACGGTTTAAGTCAGCCTAGGCGAGTGATTTCACAATTATATTTCAAATATAAAGACTTCATCAAATAAGGCAAATTTGTTCGTGGCACACAAAATTGAAAGAGCCATCGGTGGTCCCCATAGGCAGCCAATGCCCTGAGACGGGCGGGTGGGGCGGCGTTACGTGGGAGAAAGGCCGTGCACAGCACGTCTGTAAGTATGATTTTACTTCTCAGGAAAATAGAAGGCCAGCGTTTGAGCAGAGCCAAGACCCTGTCGGGGGCTCTCGGCGCAGAGCAGCCCCCGAAGACCCGGCCCCTCTGTGTCTGCTGCGTCCTCTGCAGGCGTGTCTGCACCGCGCAGGGGCGCATCCCCCCCGGAGGAGGGCTGGGAGCGGCCGGCTCCGGGGGGAGCGGGCTGGCGGTGCTCCCGAGGAGGTGGCGGCGGGGAAGCCTCGCTCGATTGTTCTGCGGCTATTGATCCGCCTCCCTCCGAGGATCCCAGTGGCTCGGTGACCCTCCCTCCCGCCGGTCCCCTCCCTCCCTGGCGCCCGCCTCCCCTCCGCGGTGCACGATCCCGACGCGGCCGCGCGGCGCTCTTCCTCCCTGGCCTCGGGCTCCTGGAATCCTCAAGTTATTAGGAGAAATAAGGTAGCCGAGGGGACCACATGGAAGTTGTGACGGCTCCCGGCGGCGCACCCCTTTCGGCCGAGCACTCCCTCGCCCTGGGAATCACCCGCTGACACGTTGAATGAAGGAGGGCCCCTTGCCAGTCAGCCTGCCGGGATGGGCCACTGCTGGTGCAAGCCTTATTACTGCCTCCCGTGCCTGGACAAGACGGTACTTTGCCTCCCCTCCCCCTCCCCCTCCTCCTCGGACAGGGCAGACAGGAAGCCTGAGCAGCCCGCTCTGCCCCTCTCCCTCGCGTGTGTGCGCCGTGTGGGTGAGCAGGGGCCTGCCTGACCGGTTCCAGTGTGCTGATTCGTGCGTGGTGCTCGCAGAAGCACCGGCTCTCACGCACTCTGCGGTGCCTTACATAATTCCGTGTTCCTGCAGTCCCCGGTGTAACTTGCGTTTTCCTGGAACAACCGGGCTCTGCTGAAACATCTTGGAACCCCAAATGCCAGGAAATCGTTGGACGATCCTTACTGCCTTTGAATGTACCTGTGAAAGCTAAGAGTTTTCGGTGGGGGAATGGAGATCAGCTAGACATGTTTCTCGTTGCCAAGGGCTGACTTTGAAAGTTTACCACTCTTTTTCACAAACGGCGTCCGTCCGTGTAATCTGTATGCTTACAGTCAGAGAAGATAAGCACCGGTACAGTGCATTTTCTCCCTGCACTTCCCGGCTTCACCAAAGGGTGAATAACGTAGAGGTGAGAACTTCGGGAGCCACAGTCTGAGGGTGTGTGTTCGAGTCTTCCCTGGAAGGAAAACTCGCAGCCCGGGAACTGAGAGCAGAATAGCAGCGAGAAGTGTTATGACAGTTCACACCAGGGCTGTTTTTGCTTTTGATATGTGCCTGTGAGTTTCCAGGGAGCTCAGGGTATGCCTTTCATTTCACTCCTAGAAGTGTGTAGGCAAAAAGTCCTGTCTGTGAAATGCTTCCCTATCACGCACATTTGGATTTCTCAAAGATCCATGAAATGGGATTTATCAAGGGGTGGAAACTGCCTCCCCTCTGACTCTGTGGGCATCAGGGAGATGGATAATGTGAGGTATAATATGCGACCAGGTGAAGGAAAACACATGGCTTAAAATAAAACTCATTTTAAGGAGGTCACTTGGGAGCACCGTAGTTTTCAGTTCTGTTTACAAACTGAGCTAAAGCAGGGTTATGCACCACCTGGGACAATTAAACTATCTTACAAGTCCCCTAGTATTTTTGTTCCAGTGAAATAACTGTTTCAGTGGGTTTGGCTTTTCCTTCCATGACTATGAACTCAAATGTTTACGTACGCATTTATGTGCTCCTAACACATAGAAAAATAAAAACATTTTCACTCAGTTGTCTGCAAATTCAGCACTGAAGTGATTAAGCGTGTTTTCAAGAGAAATGGTCACAAAAAGGTGTTGAAAGAAGCTTTGTAACAATAGCTACATGTACAATGATAATTATCATGTTCCTATTCCTAAACCCTGGTGCAAAATTGTAGAAATAGAAGCTGTAATACGAAGGCCTTTTTTGAGAAAACATGTTTTAAAGTGAATTCATCCTCCTTTTTTGTTTCATATCAAGTTCTTAGAAACAATCCTGTCATTCTCTAATTTGGAGATTTGGTGAGATGACTAACTGTTATTTCATCTCTTTAGCAGTGTGATGTTTAGTTAACTTACAGCCTTGAAACTTGAAACTGAATACAAATTATTCTTTACTGATGAAAACTTAAAAGCTTACACCACATCTGTCAACTTTCACATTATGTTGACACCCACATTTCTTGAGTATTCTTTGCCACATTTTGGAGTAGTGTTCTGGTTGCAGGTTTTGTTAATATGTATTCATAGGTGCTCATTTTAGGAATTGAGCACTTTCTTTTTTTTTTTTTTTTTTTCATGAAAAAGGTCATTGTTTCATTTAGTTGCCCATTTTTCAGGGTAACTTCACAGGCAACATGCCCAGATCTTTTGCTTATCCAATAGTTACCTATTGAGCCAGGCATGAACCTGGGAGTGGATGGGGTTCCACTCCAGTCTGCTTCTCCTGTAAGTCCCACAATAAAATCCTTCAGTCTGTCAATCAGCTCTAATAATTCCAGCATCAGCACTAAAAGAGGCCTGATACAATTGTTGGTAGAGTTGTTTCTGGTTATTTTAGCCCAGCTTAATACACCTTTTAAAAAAAAGGAAAAGAGGAAAGAAAGATTCCCTCAGAACTTTATATAGATAGGTAAGAATTAACTTTATATAGATATGAAATAATTTTGAGAAACAAAAAAACATTTTAGCAGTTTGATTATAGTGCAGCTCAAGATGTTCTGAAAAGAATGGCGGAACAAGTAAAGATACTTTTCAAGTGTGGAAGGGGTTTCGGAGATGGGGATAAGAAATAGAAACCAGAAGACACTTCTTTAACATTTATTTATTAGGAAAACTGTAGACTCTTGCCTGGAGGATAAAGTGAATAAAAGTGTGTTAAATGAACAAAGTGGTTTTTAAAAATTGGTTGTGCTTATGTATTGTCCATTTTTTAAAAAGCCTGTTCATTGACAATATTTATTGCTAGTTTACTCTGCGCCCAGTTGTTACGAGGACTATCAAAGAATTCTTAATGTGTAATACCGGGAACAAAGCAAAGGGAACTGTTGAGTGGGATTTGTCAGTGATTTCATTAGTTGTACCTCCACCTTGTCCAGAGAAATTCCAAGTGGGGTGGGCCTCAATATAGAGCAATTAAAACACTAGTACAAGCCTGGAGAATAATTAAATGAGAGTCAAGTGGTATTAAGCATACCTGTGTCTGGAACCTAGTGAAAGGGGGAAATCAGGGCTGGAATCATGGGCAAGGTTTCTTGGAAAAAATTGAATATGTGAATTGCACTTTGAGAAATGGGATGGAGTTTAATGAATTGGCTAGGAGAAAGGGATGTAATTCTAAGCAAGGAGTGCATGGGTGAAGGTGTTTTAGCCCAGTTCGATGAAAGATAAGGATAAACAGCGGGAAATCCAAGCACATAAGGAGTGTGGACAAATGTTTTCCAGGCTGAAAGTCAGACCCAAGTTTTTTAACTTGAGTTGTAAGTAGCAGGGATCCATCTTGGGATTTTGAAAGACTCATTCTACAGGTATTTTGGAAAGAAGGGTATGACCCAGGAGGGCCACTGGGACATCCAGATGGATTTCAAAGAGTGTGTTTACCAGGGGACTCAGCATGGTCCACAATCAAGCCAGCCATTCTGCATGAACAGAACCTCCTTACCCTTCACCTTCCAGAGGTGATCATTCTTAGGAACACTCAGTTATTAAGAGACACAAACTAGATGTGTTAATGAGAAAGTCAACTTGCTTTTTAACAGTAAGAAATATCACTGACGGGCAAACAAATGATAACAAGCCTGAGAAACATGTTAATTCTTTCTAGAATCAAAAGTCTAGCTTTATCTGAAGCTTTGACAAGTAGCAAGTCATTCACATGACTTAGGCATTCACTGGCCTCAGAGCCCAGCCCTCCCGTGTCCCCTTGGCTGGGCCGGCCATCCAGCCTGAGAGGGGTGCACTGGAGAGGGCTGCAGGGGGTCACTTGTCCTGGTGACTGCCTCTTCTCAGCTTCCCTTTGCTTTGTTCCCTGTCCTACACATCACCTTGTCTTGCTGATTTGGGGTCTGTCCTGTCTCTGTAGGGGTTACTTTGTTTATCTCCACCCTGAATTTTCTGTGGTGATTATAATCTCAGAGCTAATCTTAATTACCTTTTTTCTAAATTCTTGGTAGGGGTGGGAGTTGGGAGAAAACCCTCACTGTCCGGTCCAAGTCTGCATGAGTGGTGTGACAGTAATAGAGTTCGGAAGGTGATTAGGAGAAGATAAAGTCCTGGGAGGTGAAGAAACTGATACATAAGTGGATTAGAAGTCACGGTACTGGCTAATTTTCCTTTGTTTTGCTTACTCTGAGATCCAGAATTTCCCAGCATGACTTGCTTGGATTCAGTCATTCCCCTTGGGTCCCCGTATGTCTCTGTCCTTTCTAGTCGTTTATTGGTAATCCAAGTAGGGTGTGCTATTCTCTTATTAACTAAAGGTTACTCTTAGGAAGCTAGATGCCTTGTAATCACTGACTTTTCCCAGCATGCACAGAGTAAAGGCTGGAACAATGCACTTCAAGTTTAGCCTTTCTGTCTCTTTTTTTAAAACATGATACGACTTTGCTCATTTTTCACGCAGGTAGACATTGATGTGTATTTAAGAATATTAAATATGAATAATACTTTGCCTTTGGCCAGACTTTATTAAATTTTATTTCAGAGTAGAAAAGCAGATACGAAAATACAGTGGCCTGTGTTAATTATATGTGAAGAAATAATACTTATTGATTAAGTCAAAGCATGGCATCAGTGCTGCCTTAAAGCCATAATAACGGAAATGAAAACCAAAGGCCAGTCCACCTCCCAAAGGAATTTTCCACAGAGCTCTATTATAAATCTGGCCAATCTTCACTATATTAATATTGAAAATGAATGCAGTATTCACAAAAGATGGTAGGAAAACAATGCTGAGGACTTATGTGTTTTGATGTCACCTTGTGGCTGGCTCGTTTTGAAATATAACTGAAAATGTCTCACTATTAAGACAAAGACCTGCCATATAGAATTAAAACCCAGTCTGAACTCATGGAGTCCTGGATAAAAGCAACATCATATATGAGAAGAATGAAAAATTCCTTATTCCTTTTTTAATTTTGTGTGTATGTATATTACTCTGAATTTCAAAGATTCACAATAAAAAGGATCTAGATGTTTCTTCAAATACCAGAGTTCTATAGATTTCTTAACTCCCTATTGTGGTTCTTTTCATTTAGCTTGGGAAAAGTGGCCCAGCTCACATGGCGGAATTTTCTGATCTGCCCTGATTTCAGGACAGGCTATAAAAAGATAGGAAAGACCAGTTGGGAATCTTTGGGCTTGCCTATAAATACATATATTTAACATTTACATATATATGCTCCTCTTTTCAAAAAAAATATCAGGTGGGGAAAAGGGAGCTTATTATGAAAACACTCAGAACTACAGTGAATTTGATGAAATTATCACCAGTACTACCTTGTCCCTGATCTGAATTATTTCAAGGAGAATCACAGACAAGCCATGGAAGCGTGGTGGGAAAAAGAGGAGGGTCCATCTGATGGGGAGCAGAGACAGAGGTCCCAGGAACTGCTTGTGCCTGGGTCTCCCGGCCTTTGCCTGGGGGCCCCCTTCATATCTTCCTGTTACCCATCCTCTAGTCTCAGGAAATCTCCAAGCCCGCCCTGCCTGTGAGTTGCATCACATTGTTTCCTAATTGCTTATTCACTTTCTGACTGCCTGGGAGACTCTTAAACTCCTTGAAGGCAGAAAATTCCATCCTGGCACTACCTGCTGGTACATAGTGGGCACTCAGGAAATGTGTTGTTTTATATAAATTTCCTATACCTGAATTAGCTGGGGTGCAAACACCCCTGATTCACCTACCATTCAGTTAGAATAATTAGCAGGCTTTGTGTTGGTCTCTAAATCGAGGAAGGGCTGAAGGGGCTAATGCCACGCCAGAATCACATGGGCGGTGCCCACAAGGGGAGGCATTTTCACTTCCTATTACCACCAAGTTCACACGGGTAGCATCAGCCACCTAAACAGATAACCCCCAGGGGCCAAGCACGTTAAAATAACAGAGTATGACAGGCTTGCCCAGGGGCTTGGCCACACATCAAGTTGCGGGAAGTTAAAGGCATGATAACCATGTCATTTGCATTGCCAGAGGTCTGCAGCAAGGAAAGATTACAGGCAGCATCCCCCCAAAGTCTGTGAGCGCCTCAGCACAGACAGCCACATCTAGGAAGGCATTCAGGCTCCACTGAAGCACACTCGCCCGGCTATGGTTAAGGCCAGAGGTGGAGGGGAGAGTTAGATGTGCCATGGGGGCACCTCATCTTGAAGTCTTACACACTGAAAAGACAGAGAAGTCAGAGTGCAAAGGTACATGGCCAAATAAAAGAGACAGCTAAGAAGCCGCAGCTGCTGATGTGGGGCTTAGAGGAATGTCCTCCAACGGATCATTTCCAGTTAAGCCTGTCATGGAGTAAGTAGTCATTTTAGAGGAATGGCCTTCTTAGACTTCGTGATTTCTGGACTGTATCACTAGGATAGTTTGGATGGTTAATATTGAGATCTATTTTTAGCCCTTTGGAGTGAAAGCAGGAGTTCACGTGCTTGGCACCAGTTAGGAATTTTCCACTCATTCCCCATGTAGGGAAGCACCGATCTAACCCTGGGCTGGCAGAGGAGGCCTTGCTCATGTTTCAGTCATTGCACCGTGTCAGCCCCCTGGCCCTGGCTTAGGCTGGGGAGCAGAGGGCAATGGCGTGAGGTCCTTCCAGAGGGAGTTTTCGGGGCAGTCTGCCTCCTGGATGCCCAACAGAACCGGAGGGTCTTGCAGGGCTGCTTCTGGAATCTGCTGAGCCACAATGGGCAACTTTTGAGGCAAGGAAGAGAGTGGAAGGTCCTTTTAAGTTCACTTTGTGCCTAAGGGACAGTGTCCCTGCAGTCACTGCTGTTGACTCATTCCATTCTGCCGGGCAGCCCTACATCATTGTGGGTTGGCTTGCAGAAAACCAGAAGTACTTAACCGATGCGGAGAATTCATAGATTAGAAGAGCTTATGTCATTTCAAAAACAAGCACTTAAGGAAGAGGGGCTGGTGCCAGTGCCAGAGGCTGGCCTTAGCGAGCAGAGCTGCGCTGTGCCAGCATCAGCAGCAGGGATGTTTTCGGGGGAGGGGTAGCTGGTAGGGAGTGCCAAATAGCCACCCTATCTGAAGGTACACCACGTAGGCTATGCTGGAAGTGAACTGACCTGCAACTGACAAATAACGCCAAGGACAAATACAGGGAGTTCAGGCTGCGGGGTGGGGTGTGAATGCAGCCAGGGAATTTTTCACTGAAACAGAGTGGTCAGGTGCAGATGTCGCCTCTCTTCAGTTAGACATGAGTAGCTTCTTGGTGATAAGGGTTCTGCTCCATGCTGAGGGTCAGTGCCCCTTGGATCTTGATATCGTGTCTATGCAAGGATGGGCAGTGGGGGAGAATCACGGTGTGCTGGTGTTTGATGAAGAATGTGGGCCCTGGCCAGCTGAGCAGGGGCTGGCTCCTCTGCTGTTGAGCCCCGGGTCCATCCCCCTTGCAGGAAAGTAAAATCCAAGACCCTCTTGCCAGCATTTGGAGGACTGTATGGGGTCAAGGGCTTACTTAGCACTGTATCTGCCATATGTAAAGTGCTTGGTGATGGTTTCTGCTAATATTAGTGTAGTAATTAGCCGGACCTCATCCAGCATGAGTCACTTACCCTGATATTTTGGCCATTGGGTTTGTTGCTTAGCTTTGATGGCACGGCCTTCCTTGGTAAGCCACTTGATGACTGTACTTGAAACTTAAAACTGGTTAGCTTTCTAGCCTGTGCTTGCCAAAGGCTGGGGGCGAAGGTGGCATGGGCTGCCTTCCCACCGCCTCTCCATGTCCGCTCTCCACCGTGGAGAGAGTTCAGGGTCTCTTATCTCACCTATGTCCCTCCTACTTGCCTTCTGTCTCTTCTCTCTTCCCATGCCCTCTTTGTCTTTTCTTGCTTCTTTTCTTTGATTCTGCAATGATGGGAGAGGTAGGCCTGGCCGCCAATCTCAGCCTTACTTTGCACCAAGTGATGCAAGTTGGAAGGTCCCCATCAGCAGTCAAAGTGACGCTAGTCAGCAGGCCTCCCTCCATCAGCGATCGCTACCAGAATCTGCGCCATCTGGGCGGAGGCCTGTCCCCATGGACCTGCAAGCTGCTGTCTCCCCATTGTTTTGTTCCTCTGGGGTGGGAGGGTGTAGACTGATATGTCATGATAAAGAGATACTCCCCCCAACACTGTTAACATCTGCCCAGGTCTTCTTTTACGGGGGCAGCTCGTAGGAGCAGAGGGAAACATTGACTTTGGGTTAGAAATTAGAGTTAATTCATTGTTTATAGTTAAGTTCTTGTTCACTGCCTGGCCTCTTCTAGGTCTTTGTAACTCTGAGCTCTCTGAGAGTGAATACTTGAGTCATGCTATTTGTGGACTGCTGAGTACAGCATTTCAAGTCTCTGGCTGTGCTTGGGAGTTGAGATTATGAGTGTTAAAATTGTTCTTGACAATAGGAACAAGATGTTTTTTTGCACTAGTTTAAGATTATTTCAGGGTAAATACTGAAATTCGCTCTCTCCTGAATACCAGATTTTCTTAATTTATAGGAACAAATTGGCTGTCAGCCGGCCATGTTATGCTGTCCTTGGGACAAGTGATACGTCTGATTAGAACATTTTTCCCGTCTTAGGTTCTCTAGTCTTTGAACTTAGAATAGAATCAGGGCAGAGCCAGGAAGGTGCTTTTATTTAAAAATAGATTTAAAAAAAACACAGCATAAGACTAGCATGCCACATCTAAACACATTCAGATACTTAATATGGAAAAGCACCTACTATCTGTAGGGTGGTATCCAGTTGCAAATAAAATAAAAGCAAACAACAAAGTAACAGTAACAACTAACACTTGTATAGAGCTTGTTCCAGGCACCATTCTAATGACTTCACATATATTAGTTTACTGAACCCTCATGACAGCTCTACATAGTGGGCACGGCATAGAGCCAGCATCAGTCTGTGATCAGGAAAGACATGCGCTCTCAGGAGCGATCGCTAGCCCCAAATTTAGGGAACCCAAGGATGCTGTGGGTTGGGATGGAAGGAGAGGGCTTCCTGAATGAGATGATGTCCACTGTCCCTCCAAAGTTGTATTATTGCTGTATTATTAAGAGAACCATAAACTGAGAATGTCTTATGCCTGTGGCTAAAATAACTCTCAGTTTCTATGAAAATGGGATTTCATTTTGGTATTATGAAATTATGACATTGCTTAGCAAAGGCCCTTTGATAACCAGAGAGCCTCCTATCAACCCAAAGTAGTACATGTGTTACGTGGGTCTAAACGCAGCAGAGACACAAAATTGTGACAACTGTCTGCTCACATTTGACACGGGTGCTTCAGAGGTGCTGAAATCAAAGTCAGAGGATGTTAAGAAAGAAAGAACATTCATGAGTCACCGATGATCTTCACACTAGATGTCTGATACACATCTCAACCAAAATGCCCTCTTTGGAAATTTTTGCTTTGTGAGTACAATCTACGGAATGAAACAGACTTTCTTTGAAGGCCTATATTTTTGAGATCTCTAACTTGAAGAGCATTTATATGGCACATGTGTCCTAGCTGTTATTAGTAGTAATAAAACCATAACAAATGTGAATGTTTACAGTGACCCAATAACCCAGATTACAAGTTCAGCATATCTTTAGCTATTTCTCCATGTTATGACATAGAATGTATTTGATTTGAAAATAACTTGGCAGTCATTTAGTTACAAATGGCCATCTTTGCGCTGCTAGTACTTTGTGCATTTTCTTCTCGTTCCTTCTAGTGGAACAGAAAACTGTCAGTTTTGGTGTTGGTCTTATTACAAAGAGAAATGTTTCATGGTAAGTTTTATGCTCATTATTCATCAAGTAGCTGACCATGCTACTTACCAAAGGGTAAGTTTAAGGGGACAATTGGTAAAATAAATGTTTGCCCCTCAGTGAAATGTGGCCTGCCTGTTTTTGTGGTCAAAAATCTCGTTGTGGTGGTAATGATGAACAATGCATAATAACAGAGAACAGATTAATGTGCAGAATAGACATGCACACAAGTATTGTAGGATGATATACGCCAGACTGCAAGATAGAGAAAAGGACAACCAAGGTATTATTATTAATACCGCATTGCACGCTTTGCGATTGGAATGTGATACAAGTGAATGACTAAGACGTGGCTTTGTAAGTTTTTTATATGCTTATAATGAGAAGATTATCTCCTTAAGAGTTGGACCTACAAATATTTGCTTAATATGATTCATTAATTAAACATGTGCAATCTAGCCTAAAACTAGGGGACTCTCGGTATCCATTTTGTTTTTGCAGAATGAAAGTGCCCTTGTGAAAGAGAAAGAGCTGTCAATCGAACTTGCAAACATCAGGGATGAAGTTGGTAAGTAGGGCATTGGAAAGGCGGAGCATGAAGACTGTCTGTTCATAATACCTATGAATGTGTAACAAAAGTGGCTGTGTCTCACATAATAAGCCAGAGCATACCTGCCAGCGTCTTACCCAGCACAGCGGTGGGGTGCTGTAGCCTTGCAGGCAGCCATAACTTTTATGTTTCTGTTGTTATAAAGACAGTTTCATAAGCGTTCGAAGTGGAATGAATCAGGCCCAGATTCTGCCCTTCACAGATGGCAGCGCGCACATCCGTGTGGTGTGTGCTGTGACAAGCAGCCCTCCATGTAGGCCCCCTAGGCAGGCAGCGCTCCAGGAGAAGCTGTGCAGCTTTGGTGGGTCCCATGAGACACAAGACAAGATAGTCCATGGCCTCCTGCCATGAAATGCTCTGTGAGACCAAACAAGGTCAAACACACAAATCTGGATGTGGGTTCATGTTGAAACTCCTAATCTTTGACTGATAACGTGGTATATAATTCAGTCTGAACCATAAGAGACCTTGCAAATGATAGATGGTCCCCAGACTCTGGGGGTGTCATCAGTGAAGGGCTCTCACTCTAGGTCAAAGCTCAGACCAAATGTTTGCTGTGTTCCAGTCTCTTGATCTCATTTCTCTCTAGACGATCTGTTATTTTGTTTTCCCAGGAGTCAGTCAGCAAAGATGAAATAAACCTCAGCCTGCTATTTTCTTTACAGTGGGCATTTCTCCTCCGTCCAGCGTGGTCCCGGGGACAGCCCCCCAAGTGCAGGCATGGCTTCTTCCGCAAGCCAAGGGACTTGAACAGCCCCAGCCTTCCTTGGCAGGGGACCCAGTACCTTTTCCTCCAGGCCAGCCATGCAAATAGGCACCAGACCTGAAGGCCGGATGAACCCAGGGAACAATGTAGAATGATAAGTAGTAATAGACTAACATGTAGGGATACATACATGCAGTGGGCAGCACACTAATTTCCAAATGTGGCTTTCCCTTCTTTATTTTATTTTTGCATCCACTGGTGAGGAGCCCTAGGGGTTCAACCCCACTGTAGGTTTCCTGAGAGAGGCCTGAGAGGCAGCAAGGGCAGAGTTTACGGGAGGAACTCATGGTGGGACAAGGGCCAAGTGTATGTATTTATCCGTGAAAGGGATGCTTCCTTAGGTGAGATTAATGGTTCACCCAGGCTTAATGACTCTGAGCATGAGCTCTGGAGGCAGCAGCTCCCATTCAGGTAGGACATGTTAGTTAACCTCTCGTAAAAAGGAGAGTTGATTAGAGAAGGTCATGGTGATAGGCTGTCATGGTGATAGGGACTCTCGTAACTATCAGGTGTAGCACTTTGAACCTGAAAAGAGAGGATGAAACCTTCCACTCCAGGTGAATTCCTTCCCAGAGAGACATCTGCAGCCCTGATGGGCAAGCTTTGGGTCTGGGGTATGCACCCCAGTCCAGCTGGGTAGAATGTGCCAAATCCTGTACTGATTCCCTGTGCCCTTCCCCGAAGCTTCTGGATGAAGCTGATGCCACACAAGGATCTTCTTGGGTTTTTTATTTAAGTCTTATTTGATTTCCAAATTAGTACTGAGAATAGAACCAGAGGTCACCTGCCAAGTGAGAAAGCTGGGTGGGGGTAGGGGAGGCCTGGGCAGCACCAGGGCCCGGCCATTCGGCCCAGCATTCAGCCCCAGTAGACACTTTAGCTGCACGTGCCTGAACCACCACAGAGACTGCATAGTGAGGGGAGACAGGACAGGGGGTGTGGGGATCCTCTGAGTTCTGGGATCTTGTTCTGCACAAGGATGAACTTACAGACCACACTTATGAGTGATCATATAGAAAGAGAGATGGCCAGTCCTGTCTCCTTATCACCAGCCCTGCCTGATTTAGACTTCCTGTCAGCCAACACTGATGGGGGCACTGGAGGGGGGTGCCCTGGAGGGCCGTGGAGGGAACTGGTGTTTCTGAATTTGTGAATTCAGACATGAAAGAAGGGAGGAGGCTGAAGAGTTAGAATAGCTTAGGGGCGTTTATTGCAAATCCTAGAACAGAACTGGCCTGTCAAATTGCTGCTCAGACTTTTCATAGCCACTGAAATGCTCCCCTAAATTCTACCAATCTCTGCTCCTAAGTATCCATCAATTGTCTACATCCGCGGTGTGAACAAATTCCATTCAAGGCTTTGAGCTTCCAGCCAGAATTAGTTCTACCAGTGGTTTTCAGCCCTGGTGCTGAATCATCTGGAATGCTGTTTTAAAATACCAGTTCCCAGGACCTACCCTGGGACAACAGAGTCAGAATATGTGAGGGTGAAGCCTAGGCGTCATTTTAATTCCCAGGTCTTTATTAAGTACAGTTTGAGAATCAGTGCACCACACTGAAGGAAGAGGTTTTTTGATGTTGAATCAGGGTTGAGGGGGCTGTAGGTAATTTGGGGCAGGCCTGGTGGGTGCGGTGCCGTAGTCAGTAGCTCTGGGCAGCAGGAAGGCTGAGGAGAGACACCTAGGTGGGTAGGGAATGGCTGCAGAAAGGGAGAATGCAAAAGACAAACTGCACCTGCCTGGAAGCTGCACACAGGGTTGTGTGTGCAGGCCTGGCTCCCAGGTGGATCAGGGAGGCGACCTTCTCCTCCTTTCTTCCCCCTGGTCTGTCAGGCCTCCAAGTTAGGTTCTGTTTGGGTTCAATGGGCTTTTGGAATCCAGCCACTGAAAGTAATCCCTGGTGTGTTTGCTGACACAATTCCCATTCATGATACATTCCCATACAGACTCCATCTCTGGTGGAGCTGCAACAGAATCTTCTAGAAGGTGTGCAGTTTTAAGAGCCCCCTGCTAGAGATTTTGATATGTNTGGTGTGTTTGCTGACACAATTCCCATTCATGATACATTCCCATACAGACTCCATCTCTGGTGGAGCTGCAACAGAATCTTCTAGAAGGTGTGCAGTTTTAAGAGCCCCCTGCTAGAGATTTTGATATGTATTATCCCACACTGATACAAATTCCCTGATTATAATAGTTTTCAAACAGGGAGTTGAACTTCGAGACCATCTCCCGATGAATGATGTTTTCTGACACCTCTTCTGACATCAGATATGTTGGAGATTTTCCCACACTAGCGACTGATGTTCCTATACCAGCTGGGTACCTCCTGTGGACGGGAAGACCATTTTTTGTAATGTTTAATTTAGTAAATGGAAAACTCAGATAAACAAAATAAAATAACTGTTTCTCCCAATCCTATATGACTTCTACACAAAACCGTAAAAGACGATATAGTCTGAATCTGTCCAAACATGATTAGAGTATAATTATATAACATGGTGTGATATTGTTTCTAGACTTATATCCATTAGGATTCCAATCAAGGTAGATTTTTATTTCATTCATATAAAAGTGAGGAGATAAGCACCCAGGCACAGGTATAGTTCTGCTCCACAAAGTCCACAGGGGACCCAGGCTTCTTACAGCTCACTGGTCTACCACCCCAACACTGTGGCTCTTCTCCTCATGGTCTAATATTGGCAGTTGGTGCTGTGGTCATCACATCTGTATTCCAGGTAGTAGGATGGAGGAAGGAATGAACAAAGAAGCTGAAAGTGCAGGTCAGCTCTCTTTGGGGAAAAGTTTCCAGTAACTACACTTCATCTTATATCTCACTAGCCAGGACTAAGTCACAAGCAACCCTTACCCCAGGAGAGATGGGGAATGTGCCCTTTTTCCTTGGTGACCTTGCACAGATATTATTTTATTACTATGGAGGAAGAGGAGAATATATTTTTTGGTAGTACTAGCAGCCTGTGCTATGAAGCCTGATCAATAAGATGGAGAGAAAAATCCTGTCACACTAGGCAAGTGAGAAGAAAAGGGCTTAGCAGAGCATTTGTCAGAATACTGGGGACTCAGTGTGTGCTAATTCCCTTAAATTTCAGTTTAGAATCCATTGTATTTCTTCCTCTCACAGTTTAAAAAAACCTGAGTGAAAATGCAGAAACCAAGAGGGCACCTCAGAAAAAAAATACAAACCTTGGGATCACAAAAATATATTGCACATTTTCTGATTTATAAAAATATCTCTTCTAAGCATGCCAGTTGAAAGGTAGTTTGTCAGATTGGATTAAAAAAGCAAGACACAGTTGCCTAGAAGAAACCACTCCAAATATAAAGACATAGATGACTTAAAATTAAAAGGATGGAAAAAGATACATGCTAAAACCAATCAAAAGGAAATTGGAGTGTCTATATTAATATCACACAAAATAAATTTTAGACAAATAATACTACCAAGGATGAAAATGGCCATTAGGTACTGATGAAGGGGTCAGTTTACCAAAAACATAAAAATGCCAAATATCTGTGTACCTAACAATAAAGCTTCAAATTTATATGAAGCAAAAAGTGATAGAACTCAAAGGAAAAATAGACAAATCCATGATTTTTGGTATGGGAGCTCCCACCTTCTCTCTCAGTATTAATAGGACAAGCAGGCAGAAAATTATAGAAGTGGCTATAGAAAATCTGAACAGCACGATCAACCCACTTGACCTAATTGAAATTAATAGGACATTCCATCCAACAAGCAGGATAACATCCTTTGCAAATGCCCATGGAACATAAGCAAATAGAACATATTCTGGACTCATAAAACCTCAGCAAATAGGAAAGAACTGAAATCATGCTAAATGTTTTTAGACTCAACAAAATTAGATGATAACAAGAAAATATGTGAGAAAACTCCAAATATTTGGAAATTAAGCAGCATACTTTTAAGTATACAGAAGGAAACCACAAGGTAAATTTAAAAATAAGTTGAATGAAAATTAAAATACAAGATATCAAAACGTTTGGGATGCAAAATATTCTCCGAATAGCAGAGTTGAATCTTCTCATTCAATTTGCTCAGCAACTTGAGGGGGAACTAATATGTACTGTAACTGTCTTAAGCTCTCTGGCAGGGAAGCAAATAGTGTTAGTTGAAAACAGGTTTGATCTAGTAGGTTTATCTGCTGTCAGACA